ACATGGGACTATGGAGCTATCCACTGGAGCATGGTCAATCTACCAGAAACCAAATTCTCAAAGAAAACTAGTCTCTGTCCCCTAGTAACCACCAAAGTCATCAGGTCTTTAGCTAGGGTCTACCAGGCTTTCTAATCTAGTTGAATGGCTATAGATTTCCAAGTCTTTTAGAAAGTTATCTTCCAATCTAGTATAACCCAGTGTATTATTTAGAATGCTGAAATTCTTTTCATTTTAGAATAGTCTAGATAATTATTCTGAGCATTCCATCCAACTCCCCCCTCCCCCCCCTGCCCCATATAAGCCACATCAGATTCAATTCTGGTAATTTCTAGTTTCAGTATGATTCTTTGGTGACAAGTATAAAAAAGATACACATAGATGACTCTTGATAATCTATTCTGATAGTCTTCCTTTCAAAATTCACTCTTTTATTCTGGTTTGGTGATCTTGAAGTTCTCAGGGGAAAGTAGAAGACAGTGCCTGAGGACCTATGTCTACTTCTCACCTGTGCATGTATGCTGTTTCCCAGCCTCAGGTTCTAATGTGGGCAGATTTCAGTGACATTCTGGAGACACAGTTGTGACAGGGGCAGCTTGTTGTCATCCAGTGACCCTTCTTCTCTTCTGTAGATGTTGGAGTGTATGAACTTTGGAGACACATTTATGCTGTAAATTCTACAGAAGAAGGGAAGATAGTAGCCAAATATGCCATTGCCTTGAGTAGTTAGGGTTGGATGGTGGTGGGGATCTTCTGAGGGACCATGTGCAATACATCTTGAAACTTTTCCACTAAGAAGAAAGATCTACTAACTTTTACCCATCCTTGATGGAAGTTTGATCTTAAGAGGCTTAGCTCATTGGCATTTCTAGATCAGGAAGTGTTGTGGGAATTTGATCAGTTTCGGCCAATGACTCTTGGGGTGACTAGAACTATGGGCATGATTTTCTATGATTTGTGACCGAATAAGAACGCATTGCATTCACTCTTTTTCTTGGATGTGAAAGGCTTCCTGACCCACGGTTCTGTGAGCTGGTCGGGAGCTTTCCTCATCCTTCCATGTCGGACTAAGAGGCAATCCCGTAGCTTTACCCTGTAATCATGAGTGCATGATTCTCATTTTACTCCTTAATAAATAAGTCTTCTTCCCAAACATCCGTGGGTTTAAGGAAGTGCTAGGATTTATGGGCTGTCTCATCAAGTTGAAAGAGACCTCTTGGGTCAGCCAAAGAGCTGTATAAGATATTCTAGCAATATCTATATTGGTCCACCTTTCATACTTACCAGAAATGCTCAGACTCAACGTTTAGTCTACGAGGTCCTGTGGGCTGCACAATAAGACAGATGCCCATTTAAGACCACCCACCAAGACCTTGATGTAAAACGTAATTCCAGAACATCTACAGAAGATCACTGTGGGCAACAGTGGTGGAGGAAGGTTTGCATTTGAAATGAAAATGAGGCTTTCACCTCCAAAGAGTTTAAATTAGAGGTGAAGAAAGGGGCAATAGATTCTGTGAGCAAGACATAATCATGCGCAAAGGCTTGGATATAAAAATATGAAAGGCACAGCCTGTGAGCTGCTAGAGGAAATCAGAAGTCTAGAACAGGAGATGAAGATGGAAAAGTATTAGGGGATGTTTTTTCAGCGACCTTAGAGTTGAAACTAAGTGTTCTGACTTGACTTCAAGCCAAGGCATTTCTCTCTATTTAATGGGGCTAAATTTATATATAATTAAAATTGCTAGTCCCAGTTTAATGGAAAACATTACACGCTCTTACAGGGATAATTTTAAACCAACTGCTCTCAGCCTTTTTATATTCTGTCATGGTAGACATAAGAAACGATGTTCACATGCGGCACATATTTTATTGGTAGGATATTTCTAATTTTCTACATGTTAATCCCCATCCCATTCCCCTCTAGTTCAAGGGTGTCCATCAGAATGCAAGCTGGATAACATAATAACATTGTTACTGTAAAAGCAATATAATCGGTTAACAAGAAAAAAATTTATGAACTTTGGCCTTCAGTTCGTATAGAGTAACAAGTTATTTGTAATAAACCTCAGAACCAGTTGTGAATAACAACGTCTCTAACATAGTACTTCATAGCTACTGCTTTAGAAGCAAGAATGTGAACAGCGACCTGCAGTCAGGAGACACACATAGAGAGACTTGGAATTGACCCTTAGTGTTGACCTTAAAAAGTGGGAGTAGAAGGGAGCTCACACTGACACTAAGGTGAAGGCAGCAGCGCATTCTGTTGAACTGGAAGCCAAAAGGAGCTCCGGAGCTTGGGAGATGGGTCAAGTTTTTGCCTACTTCCTTCCCCCTATTCCTCTGAGCTAGCTGGAGATGAAGGGCTGCTGGTTCCTGGAGTGGACCTGTTTCAGTTATTCTTTCAGGCCACCTTCCTCCTCTTGATTTATGCTAATGCTCTTTGGCATCTGGGCACAAAATGCCATTTCTGGATCATAAAAGGCACCTGGTCATTGCTGGAAGCATCCAAGGCCAGTTGGTGCTTGGCCTTTGAGTCTCCGAGCTTGATTCCTTTAGTTAATTGCTTATCTTTGTTGCTGTTGTTGTTTTGTGTTCTGTTTATGACAGGGTTTTGTTTTGCAGTTTCACTGTCCAGACTGGAATGGAACTTACTAGGTAGCCCCAAACTATCATTGAATTCTAGATCCTCCTGTGTCTGCCTCCCAAGTGCTAGGCTTACAGATAAGCACCACCACCCCATGCTTCACAGATACCTGGTACTCATTCAGGGCCTTTGGACCACTAAGCTTATTTTGTAGTTAGATAAATCTAGCAACAATTAGATGTTTAATGTGTCCAATTGTAAAATTATTGAAAGAAGACAAAGCAGGGAAGAGAACCAGGAGGGAAGCTATTTCCATAGGGTGGGAGAAGGCCTTTCTGAAGGGATCTTTACTGGAGTCCTGTAGGACCCAGAGAATGCAGAAAAAAATCCAGAGAAGAGGATATGAGGCCAAAGAGTAATGGGATTTGAATGACTAGGATCTTTTTAGATCTTTCATAGTGCCACCGGGACAAGAGAAATATATGTACCTGTGGAAAATGACCTTAAGCTAGATCACATGACTTGCTTGTCTTGACAAGGTAGTGAGGGAGAGTTGCTTGACTACTGATGGCAGGGTGGCCATGTCTTTGCAGGAGGTCATCTTACAGCCTCGCTGGAAGTCATAGAGACTGTGTCCCTGAGAAGTGTTAGCATCTCTCTGAGATTTTAATAAGAAACATTGGTTAATAAATGGGTAATAGTGAAATATAGAAGCACCCATAGTCAACCCAAACTTGAAGCCACTTGAGCCAGCAATGCCAGTTTGTAATTATAGCACATGCTGTAATTGGATGTCCAGGCTGGAATGGAGTTCAGAACTTTACAAAATCCTGTTTCAGTCTGGAGGACCAGAAAGGAAGACTCCCAAGTCTTTGGGTGGCTGACTCAACTTTCCTTGATGAGTTTCATTGAAGTTTAAAGTCCAGACAAAAGACTTCACTGCTTATCTTTGTTCCCTTTGCAGGGGTGTACCTAATAAGGTGTGGGCTGTCCTCACCTGAGCTAGAAATCAAACCCATTAGAAACAAGGATCACGTGACTGTGCTGGTTTCCTTCGTTCTCTGCCTCTGTAGCCTGTCACCTGTGAGTGGTTGAGGATTCCAGCCTACCTCGTACCTCAGTTTTAGGAAAATTTTTACTAAGAATTCATGACAACTCTTTTTTTTTCCAGTTTATAAACGCAAAGGTTTTCTCTACTTGATCCCATGTAAGTCTGTGGATATTTCATTCCGAATGTCACCCTGAAGATAGGAAAGGAGGTGGGAATCCATAATAGAGTTGGATAACTGGCACAAGGGAGTGTTTAATCTAAGGACTGGAAGGTTTCTAAACTGGCTCTGTAGCTGTGCCTATTGCTTTGTGTAATTCTTCAGGGTGTTTCCAAGCATTTTATCAAGATGGATGAACTGATTAAGTAGCCCTCTTGGTATGTGTGCAGCAAACAGTGATTGTGAGCATAGTCTGGGATGGAGAAATTCATGCCTAGCATTTCCAGTCCTAATTAACATCGCAGAAAAATAAATCAGGGCTCCTTACAATAGGGATGCCTTATCGCACCATGGTTAAAATCAGTTCTATGGTAATTCAAAATTACAAAAATCATAACAAATTGAAGTTATTTATAGTTATAACTTTATACTCATTATAAAGTTATATATATATAAATTTATAACTTTTAATCATTCATAACCTCATGGAGCTTTATGTAGGCATGTAACATGCAGGATTATAGGACTATCATATGGAATCTGCAAATATCACATGAGATGCAGAATTCATTCTGTGATAAGAGATTATTTCAAATTAATCTTGATGAGACCATAAAATAACATTAAAATGGAGAATGCAACCTGAAAAATTGATGTGATTAACTTAAAGAAATTAAATATAGGGGCCTGGAGAGATGGCTCAGTGGTTAAGAACACTTGTTGCTCTTGTAGAGGATCTGGATTTGGTTCCCAGGGCTCACATATAGTGACTCCTGTGACTGTAACCCCAGGAAATCGTCCATGGGCATTGGCACACATGTGTACAAACAAGAACACACACAGAGAGACACAAAAATAAAAAAATAGGTATTATGAAAATATACAATTACAACAGAAAATCCCACAGTGATTTATTGTGAGACCCATTCATTTGAAAGGATTCTCAAGAAATGATTTTTCAAAAGAACTAGTTGCTAGAACTTCAAACTTCTAGTCTTTTTCTCTCATTTTTGGGGGCCAGCTTGTTTCTTTTTTTAAAAGAATGAATGCAAGAAATCTTTCAGGTCACCAAACATTGTGGAACAGGCCTTTAATCCCAGAACTCAGTAGGCAGAGACAGGTGGATCCCTGAGTTCAAGGCCAGCCTGGTCTACAGAACTGGTACCAGGACTTCAGGGCTACATAGGAAAAAACATGTCTTAAAAAATCTTACTTGGCAGGGGAGATACCATGATCATGAAGTAGTTTTCCCAGGGCGAGACTTACCCATCTCACCCTGGAGGTGCTGACTTCTGTGGTTTTCCCAAGTGTGGGAAATTCAACTGCATAATTTGTGGTAGTGGAGAATGCATCATGCTTTTCCCTGATGGGAGAAATCTCCGAGGTGACACTGTAATTAGGTGTCGGCATGGATCCTATAGGTTCTAGGAGGGCAGAGGTGCAATATGTTTGAAATACTGAGGGAAGGCTGTTGATTTAAAATATTGCGATTGGATGAACTGATGAGACCCGGAAAGCAGAGGAAACAAGATGGATTGTGGGCTGTGGTGCACCTAAAAAGGAGCAAGAATATATTTAGGACTATTTCAGTAAGCAACAACTTACTGAAATCATAAGCAAGAATAACTGAGTGATTGGGTGCTTACTAAGAAACATGGCAAGGTATGCTAAGATCTTGGCTATCCCAAAGCTCAATATGATGAGGAGCAAAACAAAACAAACAAGACCAATTGAGATAGTGAACTGCATGTAAGGGGATTAACAGATACAATGGTGGAGAAAGCCAGGGAATGTGGGGCAGATATGAGTTCCGTATTTCCTAACTTTAATGCACATGTGAATTTTCCAGCATCTTATTAAGATTTAGATTTAGATTTAATGTATGAGATGAGCCTTAAAGTTTGCATCAAGAATAAAAATAAAGAGTGCTGCATTAGAATCTAAAGTAACTGGCATGTCCTCTGCAGGAGACACAACCAATGCATCTACTGTGCAGCCTCAGGAGGACTCTATGGCACGTGATCCTAAAGATAATGACATACCAAACTAAAAAAAAAAAAAGAAAAAAAACAGCTCAAGGCAGATGGCGGTGGTACAAGCCCAACACTCAGGAGGTAGAGACAGATAGACCTCTGAGTTCAAAGCTAACCTGGTCTACTGAGTGAGTTTCAGGACTGCCAAGTCTACACAGAGAAACCCTGTTTTGAAACACTAGCTCATTTCAATGGGCATTTGTGAACTTGTAAGTTGGGCTCCAGGTTCAAAGTTAATAAAATACACATATTTTCCAATAACAAAAAGAATTACAAAAAAGAACCTCAGATGGCATGAGTGCCTTTTTACCTATTCCAGTAGGAATGGCAAAGCTTTATGAACCATGGTCTGAGGATCCAGGGATAAAATGATGGTCAGAGCACAGGCGTCCTGATAGGGCAGGGTAGGAAGGAAGCTTGAAAGAGAAGGTAAAGAGGAAGATCTGGATCTCACTGACGGTTCTAGAACACCCCATTAGGAATCAGAACTTCACCAGGGAGGCTCGTGCTCAAAGAGGCCTAGTTTGTTAGCCACATAAAGATGGAGCCGCATCCAGCTTACTAACCCGTGGTCCTGTCTGGGCATATGTGAAAAATGATGCTGGTACTGCATAGTAGGGGAGATCTAGACTCAGAGACGAAGGAACCAAAGAAACATGACTGTACTAATCCTATCACTCCTCATTGAGCTGCTGTTGATAGGAAGGAAAGAGCAAGTAGGATCAACACCTAAACAGGAAGTGGGGGCTATTTGTATATTTGTACATCATGTAGAATTGTGTTAGGGAAGGGAAATTCTGTCAAAAACTCCAACAGGAGTAAACACATGTTAATAAAGATTCTAGTGCAAGCTCTGTCCTGAAGTTTAAAATTTTTAATTCAAACCCTAAGAGTTTTAAATGTGTACATATATAATTCTATTTAAGGTGACATATAGATAGAGATGAGCAGTGGCAATCTGAATTTTGGGGCTTATTTATTCCCCAAGGAAGAATGAAGAGGCGTAGGTAGAGAAAGAAGGCCCTGGGAGCCAATGGAAATATAAGGAATCATTGGAAATAATTCCTGTCCTCACGGTCACCAGATGTTGTGTGATGATGGGACATTGGCTTTGGCTATTGCCACTGTCATTAATTACCATCACTTGGCATCCCTCCTTCTACTGAAGTTCTCCACTGGACCAGAGTTTTGAGGGTTGGTGGCCAACCCATCTAAGGCAGGCTTATCATCTCTACATGTGGAGGGGAGAGCGGAAGAGACAGTGTTGGGAGGGAAAACCACTGAACTGACACGATTGTGGTAGTCCCAGGAAAAAATAGAGTTCAGTGCCATGTGCCCTTGGGGGTATGATTGACAGGACAGTGTCCCTTGGTCACTCATTAGAGTATAGGAACTGAGTCCTGGGCACACAAAAGTCGGTGCATTTGTTATCAGTAAGTTCAGAAGGACCCCACCTTTCCTGGTATCCAGCGTAGTATTCTGTCTGTTCAGTCAAGGTGAACAAGTATTAATTGTGGAGGATAGATGCAACATTCCTTGTTGTGAGTAGGTGGGAACCCTGATTCTTGCATTCATTGACATTAGCTTCGAGCTTCTGTCAGTGCTTTGGTACATAAGGCGACATTCTTATGTTTACAGGATTCCATATGTTGTAAATATGAGAAAGCATTCAATGCATATTGCGGGCAGTTCCACACATAAATACTAGATGGCAGCCCAGCACTGCCTTTAGGTACTGAAAAGTCTTGCCTGGTTATCTACCCAGCACCAGTGGAAAATTTTAGATGTTTTAAGCGGGGCTTCAATGGGAAAATTTACAGAAATAAGTAAATGATGCTGATGACACATTTGTTAACAGCCTTTCTCCAAACCACTTTTAAAATTACAAGTAAGACATGCAATTTAATGAGATGGTAAAAACTGAAGACAACCAAAAATAGGCAGAGGATGTAAATAGCTATTTTATAGGAGTAATGCATAAGGCAATAGCAGTATGCAGTGTTTAAGTTCTTGGGAGAAGAGAAATTAACATTATGTAAGTATGGTTTTATTACCTCTTGATCTGATAGAAACATTTCCACAAGTTCTAGCCTAGAGAAAAATTAGAGATGCAGTGAAAGCTCTATGCACAAATATCCTTCTCCATGCTTTATTTATGGTAATCCAAAGACATTAATTCTTAGAAGCTGCTATTCCCTACAGTGGGACATTATACATTCTTAATTGATTCGACTTTATGTTTTAGTCAGCCTCTAACACAATTATATGCAATAGAGTCAGTTAATGTAAAAATGAGCACACATAATCCATAAAAACACAAAGAGAAGAGGGGTAGGCAGCCGCTTTGGGGAAGGTAGAGGGAAGGGATTCGTGAGGACTTTAGTCATCAGGAGAAATGACGGAATACAAGTTTCTACTACCAGGCCATGGCTTGTCTAGCAATGAAGCAGAATCAAGACCAAATGAATCACGAATCCTAGCAAGGAATCTTTAGAAACATCCCAGGTTAGAAACCTAGGTCTTTCCCTTGAAACCTTTTTCTGGAGTCCCATGAATGTGTGGAGGCCCCAGTATGACACCTAGGGATGCTTTCAGTACACAGATGTCTGTGACAATTAAGAAGAAAATAATTCAATAAAATAGCACGAATCTTTTCTCTCCTGAGTGATACAGAAATATCTGTACCCATTTTGCACTGTTGGCACATGCATTAATCTTCTTTTAATTTCTTTCTTAGCACATTCTTGTGCAACATAGTATTTTTTATGAAAAGCAGGAAATTGTAGCTTCCTGAGTTTTTTGCTTTAAGTAAAGACATGAATGGATGAGACTAAGGAAAAATTGATAGCATGGTTTGAGCAAGAGTTTGCTTGTTGCATTCATTTAAAAAAATATGAATCAAGTGTTTGATTTATTTATTTACTGACCTGACTGAACAAGTTACCCAATGCTCTCCAGAAGATAAATAAAAGAACATGGCTCAGCACTTCAGGAACTATAGTGAATAAGTTTATATAAAAGCCAATCTTGGAATCGAGTGCCAAATAAGAAGTTGAACAGGCTTCAATTTAGGTGGGTATATTTTTAAACAACAGCCTAATATAGTCCCTTATTAACAACATCAAAATCTGGATATGGCCAAAGTCCTGGTATTTTTGCTTTACCTATCAGCCAAACAGCTTGAACACTGGTGAAGGAGTAACTTCTGCAATGGCTCTGGGATTCCAGGAATTTTAGTATTTTTAAATTCTTAAAATAGTTTTTAACTTAAAAAATTTCTTGGGGGTGAGGTGAGGGAAGGTGAGGGGAGCAGGAGGATTAGAAGGAATGGAAACAGGAATTGGTGTGTAAAATGAGAAAATATTTTTAAAAATAAGGGAAGGAAGAAAAAAAGAAAAGAAATAATCAGATAGATTATAACTTAATAGAACCTATACCAGGATAAGACTTAAGGTTAAAATGACAAAGTAGGTAACCCAGACCCAGAAAGGCAAATATCATATGCATTCACTCATAAATGACTTTTAGACATAAAGCAGAGAAAAACCAGCCTACAATTCATAATCCCAGATAACCTAGGAAACAAAGAGGAACATAAGACAGACATACATAGATCTAATCTACATGGGAAGTAGAAAAAGACAAGATCTCTTGAATAAATTGGAAGCATGGGGACTACAGGAGAGGGTAGAAGGGGACGGGATAGGAGGGGAGGAGAGCAGAGAAAACTATATAGCTCAATAGAACAATTAAAAGTAAAATAAAATACAAAAGAAAAATCAAGGTGTGGAAATAAAAGACAGCAATTTGGATGGACAGTAACTGTAACTCTAACTCTTATTGCTTCTAACCTAAGAATCTAACCATAAAGACTAAGGAAATGATAGAAAGTGATAGCACCCATCTGTGTAAAAGAATGTCATATTAACTTTTTATCTGTATAAAAATAAAATGTTGATAGCAGCATTATTTGTAATAGCAAGAACCTGAAAACAACCTGGATGCCCCTCAACTGGAGAATGGATAAAGAAACTGTGGTATATTTACACAGTGGAAGACTACACAGCAGTAAAAAGTAATGACATCTTAAAATTTGACGACAAATGAATGGATCTAGGAAAAAGAAACATACTAAGATATGTGCTTCCCTGCTCCCCTATCCAACCTTCCTTTGTCCCAATCATCCCATTTCGAAGTTCCCCCCATCCTCCCCTTTTCACTTTTCTCTCCCCATCTCCCCTTACCTCCCTCCCCCCTCCCCCAAGATCCCATTTTTTGCCCAGCAATCTTGTCTACTTCCCATAATCAGGAGGATAGCTATATGTTTTTCTTT